GGGCCGCAGCCAGCAGCACCCTTCCCCCCCCAGCCGTGGGGCCCTGCACGGCTCGGCGTGCATGGCAGCAGCGGTGGCCGGGCTGGGCAGCGCATGCGCCGTTCGCCCTGGGTGTGGGCCCCTGGCTGCGCACCAGCGGCCATGGCCGGCCCGCGCATGCACTGTGCACCCCAGGGCTGGGCCATCGTGCCCTGAGGGGGGCGGGCCTATGTCCCATGAGCAGGCCTGCACGTGCACCGTTAACAGATGTATTGGAGCATAAGCTTTCATGGGCAAAGACCCACTTCATCAGATGTACATCACATGCATCTGACGAAGTGGTTCTTTACCCACGAAAGCTTATGCTCCAATAAATCTGTTAGTCTGTAAGGTGCCACAGGACTCCGTAAGGTTTTTGTATGTTACCATTCCTGATATCTGATTTGTGTCCGTTTATTCTTTTGCGTAAGGACTGTTCAGTTTGGCCAATGTATGTAGCAGAGGGGCATTGCTGGCACATGATGGCGTACATTACATTGGTAGATGTGCAGGTGAATGAGCCCATGATGGCGTGGCTGATGTGGTTAGGTCCTGTGATGGTGTCGCTGATGTAGATATGTGGGCAAAGTCGACACCGAGGCTTGTTGCAGGGATTGGTTCCTGAGTTAGAGTTACTGTGGTGAGGTGTATAGTTGCTGGTGAGAATTTGCTTCAGGTTGGTGGGTTGTCTGTGGACAAGGACTGGCCTGCCTCCCAAGGCCTGTGAAAGTGAAGGATCATTGTCCGGGATGGGTTGTAGATCACTGATGGTGCATTGGAGAGGTTTTACCTGAGGACTGTAGGTGATGGCCCCTGGTGTTCTGTTGGTTTCTTTGTTGGGATTGTCTTGTAGTAGGAGGCTTCTGGATACACGTCTGGCTCTGTTAATCTGTTTCCACACTTCCTTGGGCAGGTATTGTAGTTTCAAGAATGCTTGGTGAAGATCTTGTAGGTGTTTGTCTCTGTCTCAAGGGTTGGAGCAAATGCGGTTGCATCATAGGCTACGTCTGAACTATACCCATCTGTCAGCAGAGAGATGTAAAGGAAACACTTTGAAAGTGCAAATGAAGCAGGGATTTAAATATCCCGTGCTTCATTTGAATAATCGCGTCATAGCGCTGTTTTGAACAAGCGCCATTCAAAACTGAAATCGCTGTTTAGACGCGGTTTTATTTTCAATGGGGTGCCTTTTCAAGAGATCCTGTACTCCTCATTTTTTGTACAGGATCTTTCGAAAAGGCACCCCGTTGTTGAAAAAAATGTGTCTAAACTGCAGTTTCAGCTTCAAAATGGCGCTTGTTCGAAACAGCGCCATGACGCGATTATGCAAATGAAGCATGGGGCATTTAAATTCCCGCTTCATCTGCATTTTCGAAGTGCTTCATTTACATCCCTCTGCCAACACAGAAGTGTAGTTTAGATGTAGCCTTAGTTCTTAGCTGTAGAACAATGGATCGTGTGGTGTGTCCAGGATGGAAGCTGGAGGCATGAAGGTAGGAATAGCGGTCAGTAGGTTTTCTGTATAGAGTGGTGTTTATGTGATCATCACTTATTTGTACCATAGTGTCCAGGAAGTGGATCTATTGTGTTGACTGGTCCAGGCTGAGGTTGATGATGGGGTGGAAATTGTTGAAATCGTGGTGGAATTCTTCAAGCGCCTCCTTCCCATGTGTCCCGATGATAAAGATGTCATCAATGTAGAGTAAGTAGAGAAGGGGAGCTAGTGGACAAGAGCTGAAGAAGCATTGTTCCAGGTCAGCCATAAAAATGTTGGCATATTATGGGGCCATGAGAGTGCCCATAGCGGAGCCACTGGTTTGGAGGTATTTATTGTCACCAAATCTGAAATAGTTGTGTGTGAGGATAAAGTCACAGAGCTCAGCCACCAGTTATGCTGTGGCATCATCAGGGATACTGTTCCTGACAGCTTATATTCCATCTGTGTGTAGGATGTTGGTGTAGAGAGCCTCTACATCTATGGTGGCTAGGATGGTGTTTTCTGGAAGATCTCCAATGCACTGTAGTCTTCTCAGGAAATCAGTGATATCTCGGAGATAGCTGGGAGTGCTGGTGGTGTAGGGTCTGAGTAGAGAGTCTACATATCCAGACAGTCCTGCAGTGAGAGTGCCAATGCCTGATATGATGGGGCATCCAGGATTTCCAGGTTTGTGGATTTTGGGTAGTAGATAGAATAAACCTGGTAGGGGCTCTAACAGTGTGTTTGTGTAGATTTGTTCCTGTGCTTGTGTAGGGAGCGTCTTGAGCAGATGGTGCAGTTTCTTAGTGAATTCCTCAGTGGGATCTGAGGAAAGTGGCTTGTAGAATGTGGTATTGGAGAGTTGTCAGGCAGCCTTCTTTTGGTAGTCAGACCTGTTCATGAT